AGAAAAATACACACACTTTCCATTTCTCCTCTCCTGCTGCCTTTGCTGCTGCTGCTGCTGCTGCTCCTGCCAACACATATGCTCTCCACCCCCATGAAGGCCCCCACTGCCAGTTCTCCATCCACTGCCACCTCCGCGAGGCGCATGCCTCCACTGCACCTGCTTTCTGTGGCTCTCCCATCGACGTCCACCTGTCTATAGACCACCCCGGGGAACCTCGGGACAAGCTAATGATGGCACCACATTCTGGGCGACTTAGCAGTGGACCCCCAGCAGAGCTGGCATCCCAGGAAACCAGAGACTAAAGGAAGGGAATGGGCTAGTCCTCTTGCAGGACTGTGTATTGAGCTGTCCCAGCCCTCGTGAGGATGGAATCTGTGCTTCCCTAATGGCTCACGTGGATCCTTGGCACTGGGCAATTTTGGCCAAAGCTGTCAAAGAAACAAAAAATCAAAACATTTCCTAGGGCAAGGGAGAAAGAGAAGGTGACAGTGAAGGTGTGCGACTGGTGCAGGAGTCAGAAACATAGTAAGTGGAGTCAGGAAGACCCTAGAGAGAGATTTAAAAGGGACTGGTCAAGATGTGAGCTCAGAAGGCAGAAGCGAAGAAATCTAGAAATCTGAAATGCTCAGCAGTGGCACCATCTGTGCCTCTAATGTGATTACTTCTCTTCCCACAGACTCTGCTCTGCTGAAGGCGTGTGGCAAACATCACCATAGAGTCGATGCAGGATCGACCATTGACATATTGAATATAGTGCTCAATGTCTATTTGCCAACTTGGATTGAATCGTCAATAATCTGTTCTCGACCCTGAGGCCCCGTGTGCTAGTAGCAGCTGTGCTGTGCTGAACAGGAGAAGGACTGGAGGTGCAGGAGGAGGACGGACTAGGATAAAAGCCACATGCCCCTCTGATGTCCAGCAATTGGAATAACATGGTAGAAACTCCTTCTTTAGGCATCTTTTATTATTTTTAAAAAGATTGAGCGCATTTTGCAGGCATGTAGATACGGATGAAATGCACCTTCTTCCAAAGGTGTTAGTCCATAGTCACAGTGGCCCATTGCCTGGAAACTTGGCCTTGTGGCCAAAATGTCTGAACACCAGCCGAGACTGCACTGAGATGTCCACTAGCTTCAAACTCAAATGGGATCTTTGCCAATGAGACAAATGAAGTTTCCTCTTGGAAATCCCAGGGCAAGATTAAGATATTCGGGAGCCACTTGGACAGACAACCATACACACACAGACACATACACATTCAAAAACAGGAATCAGAAATATTACTGCCTATTTTCTGTAGCACTGCAAGGACTAATCTTTTTTTAAAGATTTATTTATTTATGCGTACAAGAACTGGGATGTAAGCCAGAGGTGTGAGGCATGAGAGGATTCACCAGAGAGAGTGGGGAGCAGAAGAGGAGGACCTGCTGAAATACATTGCTGAGGGGAGCAGCAGGTAAGACAGGAGAGGTCTTCTGTGCATGTGGATTGCTCCCCGGCCAGGGATCGAACTCGTGCTGCAGTGGCTGTGGATAGCTTGACAGTGCTGTCTTTATCCCCTGTGCCACCAGGGAGGCCCTGCAAGGACTAATCTTTAGGAATGTGAAAGGCAGAGGCAATGCCAGCCTGTCAGAGAGAAGCTCTGCTGGGAAGGTCTCATGTACAAAGGGTGGGGAGCCTCCAGATTAGGGCTATAGGCTTTCTCCCTTCCAGTAACTTTTTAGTGTGATAAAAATAGAAGCTACCAGATTAAAGGAAGGACAGAATTCACGGGATACTTTAAGTCTTGTGTTGAAAAATAAAACCAGCAATGAAGGGATAACTTAAAGGGTATTCTACAAGGGAATTCCAATAGAATTGTTTTGGGAGATTAAGGGTTTAGGTTCAGACCCCAAAAGCCATATTTTAACAGATCAGAGGTTTAATTGTTGCAATACTGGAGTCTTCAATAAAATATATTTAAATGAAAATGTCTCCTTAAGAAAGCTCTTGTCAAAGGATTTTTCACTATTTCTACTTTATTTTTCAGTATTTTATGTTAAGGGTGGAAGTTAGATCATGATTAATAAGGATATGGTGAGAAGTAATACATATTAGCTAAAAAGATCTTGGGGATTACATATTAGCTAAAAAGATCTACACTTGAGAGCACTGCTGCTAATGCATATGAGGAAGGCTGTAGAGAATATGGAAGACCTTTGTGTAAAGTTGACTAAATGTCAAATAAAAAATAAAGTACCCATTCTTATGCAGATAGATATGAAAATTTCAATAGTATTATCATTTAATACTTAATTTACTTGTTGCTACTATTTTAGTCCTAGAGAAAAAAGAACATCAGCACAGTAGGAAAAGATGGTAAGCTATTCATTGAAAAAAAATTCCCCAAAGTTTCATTAAAATGTGTTTGCCCAGGGCCTCCCTGGTGGCACAGGTAGTTGAGCGACGTGCTGTGAAGCTGTTCACAGCCTCTGCAGTGCGGGTTTGATTCTGGCCGGCCGGCTGGCGAGAATCCCACATGGCACAGCAGACCTCTCCTGTCTCGCCCACTGCTCCCCTCAGCAGTGTATTTCATTGGTCTGCCTGTTCAGTTCCCCACTCTGTCTCTGGGGAATCATCTCACCCTCCCATGCATCTGGCCTGTACCCCAGCTTTTAAATAAATACAATAAATCTTTTTAAAAAATGTGTTTGGGGCCTCCCCTGGTGGCGCAGCAGTTGAACGCTGGGTAGCGAGGCTGCCTGCAGCCTCTGCAGCGCCAGTTCGATCCCTGGCCACCGGCGAGGGTCCCACAAAAAAAAAAAAAAAAGTGTTTGACCAGTATTATTTTGATATTAAAGAACTAGACATAAGACCTGAAACCATAAAATACATAGAAGGAAATATAGGTGAAACACTACATGATATGCACATCAAAGACATCTTTATAGGCACATCACCCAAAGCAGTGATAGTGAAGGCAAAGACAAACAGCTGGGACTACATCAAATTAAAGAGCTTCTTCACAGCAGAAGAAAAAATAACAAAAACAAAGAGAAACCCCACCGACTGGGAGAACATTTTTGCACACAACACTAATGATAAAGGACTGATCACAAAAGTCTACAAAGAGCTGATGAGACTCAACAAAAACAAAGAAAATAATCCAGTCAAGAAATGGGCAGAAGAGCTAAAAAGAAACTTCTCTGAAGAGGAAATGCAAATGGCCAGCAGGCATATGAAAAAATGTTCAACATCACTTGTAATCAGGGAAATGTAAATCAAAACTACCATGAGATACCATCTTACACCAGTGAGAATGGCACATATTAAAAAAACTAGCAACAACAAATGTTGGCGAGGGTGTGGAGAAAAAGGAACTCTCCTGCACTGTTGGTGGGAGTGCAAACTGGTCCAACCACTATGGAGAGCTGTGTGGAGATTTCTGGACCTACTAAACATAGAGCTTCCATAGGATCCAGCAATTCCACTCCTAGGTATTTACCCAAAGGACACAGAAACAGCAATTCCAAAGAGCACCTCACCCCTATGTTTATAGCAGCACTATTTACAATAGCTAAGCTTTGGAAACAACCCAAATGCCCAAAAATAGATGACTGGATCAAGAAGATGTTGTACATATACACCATGGAAATATTACTCAGCATTCAAAAAAGATAAACACATGCAATTTGCAGTAACATGGATGGCACTGGAAGGGATCATGCTCAGCGAAATAAGCCAGAAAGAAAAAGAAAAATATCAGATGGTCTCACTCATAGCAGGAATCTAGAAAACTTAAATAAAAGATCAGGAAAAAGAATAACTATAAGAAAGTGAAAATCAAAATCAACAAACAACTATGAACCAGAGACACTCTATGGGGGGTGGGGGTCAGGGAAAGGAGAGATTGGGGTCAAAATAAGGGAGTTGCAATTGTATAGGGAATATAAAAATAAAATTAAAATAAAAAAAAGTTAAACTCAATAAGACAGATCCCCTATAAACGGGCTAAGTTGGAAGCACAGAGACATGATGTGGTCTTTGAAAATAATGCTTTATGCTGTCTGTTCCTTTCTTCTTGTTTTGAGGGACTTTCACATTTAGTGAGATCTTGGCACATTTCAGTAATCCTGTGGATAAACTTGGTTTCACCTCCATGAGGGTTTCCTATTGCCTTTCCAGACCACTTTGAACATTTTGACCCCTGGTGCCACTCACTCTCTCTGGCAGTATGGTTTACAGCTGATTGGTGGTGGCATGTGGGATCTGAACCCCAGTGTGGGGGCTGTTTTAGGCCATCACCTACTACTTCTCCCATTGTTTTCCTATACTTACTTCTTACCTCTGTGATATTATGGAGAGAAAGTTCCCTGACACAAGGACAATCCTGGTTCTGTCTCTCCCATAGAGCAGCAGGTTCTTTCTGGAGACACCAGATGAACTGATTTGTGTTATGGATCAAAGGAGGTCAACCCAGAAAAGTCAGCACTAAGCTGTAGTGCATGTAACATCTAGATCCACATCTACTTCACACTTGTGTCTACATTTCCATCTACATACCTACATGTTTACCTACCTCTACAACTATGTATCTAAAAGATATATGTAGAAATTTAACTTTCTTCTTTTCCAAAGAGCCAATATGGTCACATTTATATTTATGTCTGTATCATTTATACCTATACATAGATATATGTCAAATTTTGTCTGAGATTCATCTCCATGAAATATAGAGGATTGCATTTAACATTCCCATTTACGGATTTGGAAATCTGGCAAAGACAGATTCAGTTACTTGAAGTTAAATAGCTAACTATGGTCTGCAAACCAGTCCCTAATATCTTTTGTACTCAATTCAGTATCTTACCCACCGAGTATATTGCATCTTTCCACACATGAAAGATTTTTATATATTTAAGCCCTAAGTGTTACCAAAGGGCAATTCAAAGTACAAAATGAATTTCAGCATATTAACCAGATAATCTAAATATCTGCTATCTTTTCTAAGTTCTTACCGTAACTGTGAAGGCACGCATAGGAGAGACATTGACTGTCGGGTCATCTAGTCTCTCCTGGTAGATTACATGGTACTGGGAGATGATGCCACTGGGAGATGTGGGCTCTGTCCAGTTAAGCAGGACTGAATGAGCACTGGTAGCCTGAGCCCAGGGTGCTGGCAGGTCCTGAGGTGGGGCTTCCAGAGTCCACGCTGATGACCACGTACTCTCCACCGAGCCCATGGAGTTGTGGGCTCTGACCCGATATTCATAGAGCATGAAAGGTCTCAGAGTATCTGTGGCATCGGTAAATTCAAGGACTCCTTCTGACCAGACAAACAAAAGGGACACCTCTTCCACACCAGCAGGACGTCTGAAAGGAAATCAGGAGGACAATCAGTGACAGATGCATACTTCAAAACCAGGATTTCAAATATTGTGTGAATTATATTTTAGAAAACTCTGTGACCAAATCAACTTTTCAACTGTCCCTTCCTGGCATCCAGATGAAGACCAGATGGATGAGGACGCCAGGGACCTGATTCACCATCATTTTGACTGATCATGACGATTGCATATACTTCATAGAAAACATGAAATAATTAACACAGTTAAAAGGGCCATTTTACCCAAAGCAATATATAGGTTCAATGCAAAGCTTATCAAAATTTCAATGGGAAAAATAAGTCAATGGAATTCTTCAAAGAAATATAGAAAGCATTACTGTAATTCATATGGAAACACAAAATATCCTGAATAACCCAATCAATGTCAACAACAAAAAAGAGGAATAGAGGTATCACACTTCCTGACTTTAAATTGCAAGGCTACAGTCATCAAAACAGTAAGGGATTGGAATGAAAATAGGCATGCAGACCAATGGAATAGAATTGAGAACCCAGAAATAAACCTACATTTATATGGATAAATAATCTGCAACAAGGGAGCCAAGAATATACAATGGAGAAAGAAAGTTCTCTTCAATAAATAGTGTTGGGAAAACTCAACAGCCATATACAGAAAACTGAACTAGACCACTGTCTCACACCATACACAAAAATTAACTCAAAATGGATTAAAGATTTAGATACAAGCTTGGAAACCACAAAAAAATGGAAGAAAACATAGGCAGAAAACTTTATGACACTGGCTTTAGTGATGTCTTTGGAGTCTTGTCTCTGATGGCAAGGAAAATAAAACCCAAAATAAACAAATGGGAGTACATCAAATTGAAAAGCTTCTGCACAGTGAAAAAAAAGAATTTGTATGAAAAGACATCCTAATAAATAGTAGAAGATATTTGTATATCATATATCTGACAAGGAGCTAATATCCAAGATCTACAAAAAACTCATATAACTCAATAAAATGAAGAACCCAATAAAGAGATGGTGGGAACAGCTAAATTGGCACTTCTCCAAAGCAAACACAGATGGCCTACAAGCACGTGGAAAAATTTTCAATATCACTTAATGTCAGGAAAACACAAAACGAAACTACAATGCAATGGCATCTTGCACTTGTGAGAATGGCCCATATTTAAAAAAAAAAAAAAAAAGACACAGAAACAACAAATGTTAGCAAGGGTGTGAAGAAAAAGTAACCCTCAAACACTGTTGGTAGGTAGTAAACTGGTCCAGCTTCTATGGAAAACAGTATGGAGGTTTCTCAAAACATTAAAAATAGATCTACCATATGACAGCTATTCTACTCCTGACCCTCCTTTAGCTCACTCTCCAGTTGAGAGGAGACTGACAAATAAATCAGTATTTTCCAGGCTGTTAGGAGTATTTAATTAACAGATGCCTTAGCTCCCAAAATATTCCTTATGCTGCCATATCAGGTTAACCATCAAAATGGAAAGAGTTATTAAGACAAAGTAAATGACAGTGCCTTTCACAAAAAGGAAGGATATTTAAAATCTCTGGCTTTGGGAATTTGAGGATTCCCAAGTTGATAAATCACTATGACCTAAGAGGGAGCAATGACAAGCTTCCCGCTGGATGTTGTAGAGGCTACGTGGAAAGCTGTCGGTGACCCACGACGACCATCGCCAGCCCACCTCATTACTCCTCGCCACCACGTGTGGGCCAGATTCTGCACTCAGGGAAGGTTTGCAGGGTTTGGCCTTTGTACTTGCTACAGAGACCAGGTACCAGGTGTGCCATTGGGAGGGATCCATTTTAATGAGGACCACGGGGCTTGCAGCCAAGGACGCCTCTCAGTGAGTTTTTTTTAAAAAGGTGTTTGCTAGGAACACACTAGAGCAAACAAACATATGCACTTTTACAGGGAAATAAAATCTTCTCTTTTGTCTGATTTCAACCTTTCTATGGCAATTCAATTAATTTTTATGAAATTCTCAAGAGTTTCCTCATTGAGGCATAGCCAGAGTTGTCATAAAACTGACATTCTTTAAAAGTTGCCTGAAAATGTCAATTTTAAAAACATACATTGTGGAAGTATTATGATTAAGTATTAAGAGATTGAGTATTATGTTAGCCTCAAGTTTATCTGCCAAAATTATTAAGGGATGCTGCCCGGCTAAGTATTTCTTGTCATTCTGGTGAGGTAAACATTCCATCCTTAGAGTTAAAAAATTGTATCTTTATGTCTGAGTAAACTCTGAACAGAAGATGGTGAGTAGATCCCAATTATTCCTAATTTATTTAAGATTTAGACTCGAACTCTTCATTTAACTGGAAGTGTTTCCTCCTGAATGGTCTGTGTTTAGGGAAATCACATTTTCAGTTCTTTGTGAATAGGCAAATGGTTATTCTATGCTTAAGCTCATTTGGGAAAGACTTCAATAATGTCCATTTCCAACCAGGGTTAATTTAATGTTGCTTAACATAAAGAAGAAAACAAAAAGGAAGTATTAAAAATCTAAGAACTATATATTTTAAAAGGCATTCACACTTAGTTTGTCTTAATGGAGTATAACCTTTTAAAGAATTCCCTTCACCTTCCCTCCCCCCAGCCAGCAATTCTCAGTGCTTATCTTCAAAAGCAATTAAAATAAAATCCTATCACCCAATGCATTCCTCATAACAATTTAGGATTATGAATCTGCCACTCTTACCTCATGAACAATATTAAGAATACTCCAAATTTAAAGAAATAGTCAGAAACTCTTGCAACTGCAGGAGATAGGTTGTAGCTTTGGGTCACCTAGTTAAATAATCTTGAGATAGTTTCCCTTTCATTTTGGAAACTGGAGTTAATAATCTTATAATGGCTAACATCTTCTAGAATTTTCCTAAGAATTAAGTCAAATAATGCATATGAAATTCACTGGGTAAAATGTAATAGATGATACAAGTGGGGTTAGCCTTGAGGTGGGTTCCAAAACTCAAGTACCAGCTGCAATGTGAAGGCTGCATTGGATGGGGAGAGACAGCAGGGAGTCAAAATGAGAGGTCATCTCAACAATCCATCTGAAAACAAATGTTCTTCCTGACCATACAGGAAATGGAAACAGGCAATTTACAAGATGCTGTGTGAAGGGTGAACCCAGGTCTACCTTTGGCAGAAGAGATGCCAAAGATGTAAAATTTTTAAAGTAATCCTTTTAAAATTTTTATGATTTGCTACATAACTCATCTGTGCTTGCCATTCTAGAGTGTCCTTCCATCCAGCATTTCTGTCTCCATTTTATATTCCAGTCATAAGCAAAGACTTGCCTAAATTTCCTGTGTATTCCATGATATCTCATACTTCTATGGTTTTGACATCTGTTTTTGTTTTTAATCCCATTTAATTATATTTTAAATTAAACACTATAATGCCTCACCCTTTTCCCCTTTTCTTTTCTCCTTTCTTTGGGCTAACTCAATTCACCTTTTAAAAATCTAATCCCGGGCCTCCCTGGTGGTGCAAGTGGTTAAGCATCGCACTATGAAGTTGTCCACAGCCTCTGCAGCACGAGTTCGCTCCCTGGCCAGCCAGGGATAGACCCACATGGCGAGGCTGACCTCTCCTGTCTTGCCCACTGCTCCCCTCAGCAGAGTATTTCAATCGATCTGCCTGTTCTGTTCCCTACTCTGTCTCTGGTGAATCCTTTCACCCCCCGCATCTCTGGCCTGTACCCCAGCTCTTGTATGCATAAATAAATAAATCTTTAAAAAAAATCTAACCCCAAATCACTTTCTCCAGAAAGATTTTCCCCTGATTCTCTCTCAAATAGAGTTATATCCATTTTTGTGCTATGATTCTTCTTTTGATACACTTGTCACACTATATTGTAACATAGTTTCATTTTTCTATTTCTCATAGTGATCTGTAAGTTCCCTGAAGGCAAAGACTATATTTTTAAAAAAGTATTTATTGAAGTACCATTTGTTTATAACATTACAAGGGTTTCAGCTGTACCGATTGTAACTTAACATCTGTATACTACATTATGATGCCATCAAAAGTCTAGTTTCCATCCTTTACCACACAATTGAACCCTTGATCCAGTTTACCCTTCCTCCCCATTTCCTCTCTGGTAACCATCATTTTGTTCTTATAATCTAAGCATTTGGTGCTTTTATTTATTTTTTTTATCTTCCACATGAGTGAAATTGTATGTTGTCTTTCTCCATCCGATTTACTTCCCTAGCAGAACACCCAGTAGGTCCATTCATGTTATGGAAAAATCGCATAATTTCATCAAGACTTTCTTATTATCAGTGTATTATTTATATACTCTATATTTTTAGTATCCACTGAAGCATGGCATCCTGCATTAAAAAATTATTAATTTTTGAAGCAATGACTAGATAACTAATTGATGGAAGAGTCCAAGATTACCTGGAATTTGGTTATCTACAAAAAATGCACCTTTTATTACGTTCTCACTGTCAGCTCTAAATGTACTTTCTATATTTGGCTGTAAAATAGTGGAGGGATGCTTGCAACTCACATTTCTGCTTTACTGGTGACTGTGTTGGGCTACACCAATAGGGGGGCACCAGAGGGAGTCAGAAAACTGAAATGAAAAAAAAACTGGCTCCTTCCTATTTGGTTGCTGATTATAAGAATATCTTTCCCTGCACAGAATCTTCACTTTGGAAATGCCAGGGCAGATATTTGAAGGAGGCCATTTTTCCAGCACTTGGGAAACCAGATTCATCTCATGTCTCTTCGCCATTCACCTGTGCTACCTGGCAGCTGCCCCCACATTAGATGTCTGGGTTCCATTATCATGGAGATTCCTATGAAGGGTCCTAGGCTTTAATAATTCTGTTTCTCTTTGTTCACGTAATCCTAAAATAGTTGCCTCCTTTATATTATCTTCTCATTTGCTTTTTATTCTTTCAGCTACTTAGTTAACAAATACATAACTAGATAATTATTTAAATTAAATTATTTGTCTTAAAATACCTGGTA